CAACTAATGAAAGAAAATAATGCAAGTTAGTGGGATACACCAACTCAAGTTGGCGTAGTGATGTTGAGGATAGAAAGTCCACAGCGGGCTAAAGTGGTACACCAGTTGCTTGGAGTTCAAGAAAGGAGCCAGTAGTGGCATTGTCGTCGTGTGAAGCAGAGTACATAGATGCTTCTTTTTGTGCATGTCAAGCAACGTGGATGATGAACCTAGTCGAAGAGATTACAACGAAGAGTCATGGAGTAATTACCATGAAAATCGACAGCATGTCAGCTATCAATCAGGAGAAAAATCTGATAGCACATGGATGAAGTAAGCACATCGAAATGAGGTTCCATTATGTTCGAGAGCATGTAGCAGAAGGGAAGATGAATGTGGAACGCTACAGAATTGAGAATCAGATTGCAGATATCATGACAAAGGGAGTGCAAGTCGAAGTGTTCAAGAAGGTAAGGTCTATGATGAATATAGATAGCTTAGACACAATTAATTAGGTGGTGTGTTGAGAATGTAATTCCTTATGTTGAAGCAGGTGTAACTCGACAGAAACAAGGATGTGTCAAAATTAGTCTAGCGTAATTTGTGTCGAGTTGTGTAAGATGTCGAAGTGTTAAAGCATGTTGCTTGACACAGGATTTCGAATTAGATCAAAAATAAAAATTTTGAACTTTTGTAATTTTGAGCTTTACCTTAGGGAGCAAGTTAGCTCAATTATAAATAAGGAGTAACCCTATTATGAATGGTAAGAAACACACAACAGAAAATGCAGTTGCACAGTTGAATAATATTTTTTCAGTTTGAGAACAGAGAGTTACTCTGCAGAAATCATTTCTTTCTCAATTTTTGTCAAACTCTAATCTTTTTTATTTAATTTTCTTCCTTTCTTTCTCTATTAATAATTGTTGCGCAAAATCATTCTTCTAATTAAAGTCTGATTGTTTCACTTGAGTGAAGAGTAAAAAACAAAAAATTTCGATAAATTAATTGAATCTTATTCATTAAGATTGATTTAGAATTCTCAAACCTTTCTGTTAATTCCAATAATAATTAATAGTTTGTCTTGTTAATTTTGACTCAAAATTTTCTGAATAAGCAACTGAATTGATGAGATCATACTTGCATAGGATTCACGTCATGAGGAATAATAGAATATAAGTAAGAAGTGCTTAATTAATACTTGTATTTGGTACTATATCCAAAAGAGGATACATATTTTAGTCTTCGTGTTATTATACAACTGCTTTCTATTCTATCTCTTGGAATGTCGATAATTATGATGGCAATATCAAATGAATTTGTTTTAAATGTTAAATCAAGTTACAGTATGAATCTTAAATGATAAACATGAATCTTACAAGTTATGATCGATTATCTATCTTATGCATGGTCATTATCATAAGTAAGGATTTTTATACAATAAATTTAATTAATTGTATATTTTATAAATTTTATAAATATAAAGTTATATTTAAAGTTATATTTTATAAATTTTGAATATAAAATTTATTATTCAATTCAATTTTATATGAATACATTTAAATATAAACTACTTTATATTCAATTTATTTATTTTAATTTTATCACCACGTAACCAACCACCCGCTTTGATAATTTAATTTAAAGTTTCCTCAAACTAATTTGCTCTCAAATTTTATATTATTAAATTATTACTTTAAATTTTATTTTAACCAAATTATTAAAGTTAAATTTATTAAAACTCCATCTATCAAAGGCACAGTGATACTTCAATTGGTGGATGTTGTCAATTTTGTGATGAGCCATAATTATTGACTTAATTGGACCTCTAACTGGTAATTTCCGATTGCAGCCAAAGATAGAATGATCAATGAGTTGAGTTATGATTAATGTTATGAATAAATGAAAAACATAATGGAATGTAATGCGTTGTCAATCGTACATGTTCGTCCTATTTAAACTCGTTCTATAAAAGTCGGTAAAAAAGCGGAACAGAACTATAATTGAGGGTGTGAACATAAATTCTTTTTCAATTCTACTTGCGAAAATTGCACTTTTTTAATTTAAAATTTGTAAAAGTTTATGTTAATGGTGAGAAGGCGGACAGACATATTCTCGTGTGTTTAAAATTTTAGTCTTTCTAAAAAAATTTAAAAAAATAGATTTGTTCGACAAACGGTTTTAGTTTATCCCAACTAATTTTATTAATGCTTAGCTTAGCTCATTATGACTCAAATCTTACTCATGTGAACATGAATAAAGGAAACACCGGTTCATTCATGCTCCAAAATGGGTCAATAATAGCTGTGAAATTGAGTTCACAAGAATTATGGATGTAGCCATCAAAGGAAAGATAAGTATGTACTTCATGAAATGTATGAGACAAGTTTAATAAATAATCGAAAGATGCTCTTATTCCTGCACCATTTTCTTAAAAATCAATATCTTTCGGATATACCATTGTAATCCAAATGTGCAAAAAATACGGTTTTGTCTGGATTGATCAATCCAAAAATGGAAAAAAGGTGTTTTAAGAAAAGGTTGAGGGATAAAGGCACTTCCCTAAAAAGTCCCCACTTACCATAGTTCTAACTTTTCATTTGACAGGAACCATATTTCTAACTTAAACCACACAATTATGATCAAAATATAATAATATACATGACTGATAGTAACCAACTTATAGTATTTTTGTTTGTGTTTCAACAAATACTCTTGTATTAGTTGTGACTTGTGAGATTACTTCTTTTTCTACAAGAAGCAAAATACTCATACAAGTAACATTTTCAGGTCTCTGATACATTTTGCTTTTGTGTATCTGAAAATGACATGAAATGAATAATGGTTTTTGCTAGGAAACAAAAGTCCTATAAATAATGATACATTCTCATAGGTTTATCCATGTCATTCTAGTAACTGATAATACCATTCCAATAACTTGCTGTGTACTCTACATGTCTTTATATTGTTCCATGTTAGGTTCTAACATACCACATATATCCAAACTTGGAAAGACAATTGACTACTTCACATTCACCCATTTAGAACCAAAAGCTAGTCCATGCTTCTTGTCCCTCCATCATAATAAGAGTCTCTCAAGCCACGTCGGTTTTGTGTCGAAATTCGAACAAAATTATTCGTCTCCCTTGACGAAGGAGGACAAACAAATGGTTGATCTTGTCTCACCGTCGGAGGAATATTCCAAAGAATTGGATGTTGCTGTCAGAGCAGTGCATATGGCTTGCTCTCTATGTAAGAAAGTGCGACACGGTTTGATTTCCAAGCCTAGTAGCAATGATCAGGTACAATCTAAGGATTGTAGTTCTTCGGTTGCAGTTACAGGTGAATGTTCGTATTTATATTCATATTTATAAACAAGATTGAAACTGAACTGTATGCACTTTGTTGTATATAGGTTGGAGCGTTAAAGCAATTGTCAGCTGTATATTGTCTGCATATTTAGGTGGTGAAAACATCTCGATCCTAGCCGAAGACGATGATGTTCATACTCTCTCTGACACTAATGCAACTGAACTGCTAGAACCTGTGGTGAAAATTGTGAATGAATGTCTATCTGAAGCACCTCAATTTGGATTTGAAGCAGTAAAACTAAAATCACCTCTTGGAACTTCAGAGGTTCGTGAAATCATTAGTCGCTGCACCTCGATTGGAGATCCTTCTGGAAGATTTTGGACGTTGGGATTCATAAGTCGTGATCAATATGCTGTAGGATTATCGCTTATAGAGGATGGAGAAGTTGTGGTTGGTGTTCTTGGATCTCCGGACTACCCTATGAGAAAGGATTGGTTTAGTTATCAGAAAAGCTATCATAGGATTATATCCAAGTTGATTCCTTTAACATCTGAAACATGGAATGAAGGTTGTGTGGTTTATGCTAAAAAGGGTAGTGGCAAGGCTTGGATCCAACCATTGATTCATCATGTTAATAAGAAGTTTGTGTGGCCAAACCATGCAAAAGAGGTTTCTGTTTCTTCTATTGACAACCTAGGATTGGCCACTTTGTGCCAATCGGTTGACAAGGCTGATTCAATCTCAAACCACTCTTTTATTGATGGACTGGCTCATAGTGTTGGTCTCAGGTGCATTTCTATGTCACTATCTTTTGGTATCATATTAAAACTCTTAAGAAAGATCCAATAATTATTGCTAAATACAAAGATGAAAAGGTTTTCTATAACATAATAGTTTTTATTCTATAAGAAAGCTCATATTCATATATTTGTATGCAGTAATAAGCCATTAAGAGTTTACAGCATGGTGAAATATGTGGCAATAGCTTGTGGGGACGCTGAGGCCTTCATGCAATTTGCAAGGAGTGGTCACAAGGAGAAAATATGGGATCATGCTGCTGGTGTTGTCATCATACAAGAGGCCGGAGGCACAGTAACAGATATTAGAGGTCGTTCATTGGACTTCTCCAAAGGCTCATATGTGGAAGGGATTGATCGTGGTATAGTTGCTTGCACTGGATCCGTATTACACAAAAATATCATAGATGCAGTTGACGCTAGTTGGTCCTCTTCCAGCCTTTGAGTTCAAACTTGTTTTCTAATAACTACACGAATATGTAAACACGTTATGATCTTGTGAATTACGTATGTTTGAGCTTTCGTGTTCTGTTTTACAGTTTTACTGCAAACAGCATTGTATAATCACTTTGGTTAAGCTATTTGTGTGTGTTTGTAAATTGTAACATTGCAGCAGTTTATTCATATTTCAACCAAAAATACACACTCATTAATAACGTGGACCAAGGGAAGTGGAAATTGAACAAACTAGTTTTAGTATCTGCAGCTGTGATTGTGAAGTCAGCAAGTATAATAATTGCAGACAACCAACAAAACGATCATAAATCCGCCGCGTGTACTTCACATGCTTTCTTCCTACATTTCACTAACACACTTTAAGATTCCTTCCCTACTATCAACATATCTTAAATGTTTCACTTTCCAAAAACATACACTCTCTTCTTCCATTTTGTTCACACAACAAAGAAAGAGAAAATGAAACATGGAATCGTCCTTGTTTTGCTCATCATGAGTATGTTGCTAACGGTTACTACCTCTGTGTCCTTTAGCAGATCCATATCAGTAACCAAGCCTTCACCATTATCAACCAAGCCTTCTCCGTTGTCAATCATACCTTCACCGTCATCAACCAAGCCTTCACCGTCGTCAACCAAACCTTCTCCGCCATCAACCAAACCTTCACCATCTGCTAACACTTCACCACCATCAACCAGACCTTCACCATCATCAACCAAACCTTCACCATTTGCTAAAACTTCACCACCATCAATCAAACCTTCACCATCATCAGCCAAACCTTCACCGTCTGCTGGCAACAACAACAACGGCGACGGCAGTGGAAATGGCAATGGTGGCTCCTTTGGATTTGGACCTGGAGGTTTTGGCATACCAGGTTTTGACAACACAATACCAGGAGGCGGATACGGAGTTGGATATGGTGGTCCAAGTGGAGGGAACTCCATAAACGGTGTTATTGGACCATCTGTTGTCTGCAAAGACTTAGGACCTTGTTACCAGAAAAAGGTCACATGTCCGGCAGGGTGTTTTTCATCGTTCAGTCACTCCAGCAAAGGATACAGTGGCGGTGGTGGAGGTGGTAGCTGCACCATTGATTGCAAAAAGAAATGCACTGCTTCTTGTTGAGGAAATCCACCATATATTGTTCCAACACCCTTTTACAACATAAATAAAATTATATTACATGTTGATCTATGTTTAAAAAATGACATTTATATCTATATATGTAGTTTTGTAATCTCTATATCTATATATGTAGTTTTGTGAAATTAAAAAATGCTTGCTCTTTATTATATATATGGTTTTTGTAATCTCTATATCTATATATGTAGTTTTGTGAAATTATGAGACATTGCTGAGAAGAGTCTGATTTGGACTTTTCTCCTCTTTCTCCATAATAAATTATGTGAATCTTGAGTTGTATTCATCTAAGAATTGTTTGAAAGTTTAATGGTCATATTTTGTATTCTCTTGTTTAGTATCCATGAATATGACACACCTGTCAGAAAACTTGAGAAAAGCATCATATCTAGAAAATGACATGAATTTCACTATTGAATGTTTCTACCAGCCACTGCTTATATTGTACTCTAACAAACCATATAAATAGGTAACATGGTAAATAAGAGAGAAACAAATGAATAAACAAAACTTCTACACAAAAATCACACTCAGTGTAATATTTTTCTTCAAAGTATTTGTGGCTAGTAATATACAAAATATTAAACCAAACAAAAGTCATCCATACTCTACTGCCTTCTCCACAAAATGATTTATCTTTAGAATTTAGAATGCAGCTCTCACTGCTCCCCTTGCAGCCGCACGTTTCATCTCAGCCGCCTTACCACTGCCACGGAAGTACATATATACTTGCTGCATGCCAACCAAATAAAAAGTGAGCAGTTGTATGTTGTAAGAAAATCACGGCTTATGAATATATCGGTTTAAAAAATTGGAGACTTAGAAACAGTAACCAAACCTGAATCACCCAAATGCTTATCAGCGTTTCAAGACAGAATAATCCAAATCCAATGAAGTAGAAAATCTACAAGCAAATGTAGAAAAATAAAATAAATGATGGAATAACTTAGAAGTTTACTTCGGTCACATTAGCAAAATTTTAAATAAAATCGTATATTAATAGACGTGCGACAAATACCAAAGTACCAATTTGTATTGCTAAAATATGACAATTAAAATAGTATTCTTACCCCAATCAAGGCATGGTTGTCAAGCACATCTATAGCAGAGAGAATGCCCCTGGATCAGTGTGAGTAGACAGTGTAAACATTAGATTATAAATAATTATAATAACTTTCAGTCGCTTGAAGAGATGAACACAAACACATTAAATTCAAAATTTTACATTACTCTAACCAACATGCCTACAGGTTTGATATTATATGACCACTTAGATTCCAAATTAGGTGAATCAGGTGAAGAGTGTTGATACAAATGTCCAAATTTTACAAATTTTCTTTCAAAGATACGTCATTTAATTTTTTTTTCTTAAAGTAACTTATTGTCTGCAAGGAAAACGAATTTAAGTGATATTTTCTCGTCTCAATAAATAGCGCCAAAGAAGCAATATTGGCAAGTTAAATTGAGTGCATATAGTAAGTTGTCGTACGTCAGGGATTTTCCTTTGAAAACTATAGGAGGAGCAACAGCAGCTAAAATGCAGAACCCAATGTGAAGCTGTAAGCAGAAGAAGACACAGATGATTAGATTTCTTCAGTTTTTTTAAGCATAACTTATGCACGTTAAGAGGTATAAACAACGTACCAGATAGAGCATGAAAAACCATCCAAATTTCAAAGCACTTTCGGTCCTGCAATGAAAAAGGGGCATATTTAGAATCAAGAGTATCTTATGTTATATAAAAGAAATCTCAACTTGTTGCAGTTGCATAATTTATTAGAAAAAATTGCTAAATGCAGGTAAGCGTTGATTTTTTATACCTAAAAGCACGGTATAATGGACGATACCACAGAACATATGCTCCAGGTACTCCGGCTATGAAGTAGATAATTGCCAGAAACCATATTTTTACACCTACACCAAACAAAGAAATAATCCGCGTGCATGAGATTTTGAAATGTCAGATTTGTAATTTGATACGCTAAATAGCCAAATAAAACCTTCTTTTATATATCTAAACTCACCTTCACCCTTAATCCAAGCTGCAGTAACAGCTATAACATTCCACAAAAGGCACGCTACTAGTCCTGCATAATATAACTTCTAATAAATGACCATGATATAGCATGACTCTGACAATCTATATAGTACGGACTACAACACACCGGGACACAGACACTCCGACACTACTACATATATAATATGATAATATTTGAGCTTCATTTATCTATCTATTATTAATGTCTTTAATTCTTCATTGATAACATATCTTCAATATATGCTTAACCATTTTAGATGTGTGAGTTTTGTCTAGGAAATGTATAAGGTGTGTTGAAGCAAAGCAAAACAATTTTTTTTAAAAACACTTGTCTTAGTTGTTCCACAAGCGTTATATGAGTGTCACACAGGTGTCGGACACCAATTCAAAGACTGTTAAGCAAAGAAAAAAAACCATTTTTGAGAACACTTGTCTGACTTTTCCGACACGTGTTGTACGGGTGTCATACAAGTGTCAGACACCGCGACACGCCTACTCCTGGAGGTGTCGGTGCTTCATAGCCGACAATAGTCAATAACTTCTTTTGACTAAAATAATACTATAATTGGTACCAAGAACAAACCCCTCCAACAAAAGAGGATTACATACCTAACAGTGTAGTAAATGCAACATATTGCAATTTTTGAAGATGAACCGGAATTTCAGTAGCAATATCGTGATGGATAATTGGGAAAAACGGCGGCCAATTCTTTTCCTCAAGAACAATTCCGGCTACAAAACAAAATGTAAATGCCTATTAGAAGAATTAAACAGATCTAAGTTAGTGCAAAATGTTCAAGCTTCAAAGTCATTTATAAAATTATGCAGTACTATTCAATTTAATGTCAACAAAAACAAACAAACAAACAAAAAATACCCCTAACAGTAATAGCAATGTAAACAATTGAATTTAAAAGGGATAGATAGCCAAATAAACAACTGAACCATTCTCAACAAATATATGAACAGGAACCCAATTTACCTCGTGCAGCAGCTTCTTCTTTCCGTCTCACATCCTGTATTTGGATAAATAAATTTATAAGAAAAAATAATGTCAATTTGCTGACATTCATAGTTAAATGATGAAGAAATTGAAAATCCAATTGTATACCTGTTCTCTTCTTTTCAAATCGGCCTCCCTGGATTGCAGTTCCTTCTCCTTCTTTTTCAAATCCTAAAGTTGAAATAAATAATAATCAGAAGAAAAAAACTCGCTCAATTCTCGCAAGAATACATGCAATACTTGTACATGGAAAAAAAAAGTGAGGATTTCAACAATCTCAATTATATGCATACCGTTGATGCATCAAGAGGTATATCAACTGTTTCCCCAAAGCCGTAATTATTATAATCAGCAGGCTCTGGCCTAAGAGGAGCAAGCCTTGAATTTGTCGCAGATGGAACACTTCCAGGATTCTGACATTTTAAAAACAATATGACAATGCATAAGGTAAGTGGCAAATGATTTACAGACATATTATCAGCATCTCACATGTACTATATATCTTACAAAAAAATGGCTGTTTGATTAACAAACTCACTGTTGTGTAAAATGCACCACCACTGTAGTTTGATTGGTTTGATGTTTTTCCCTTTACTGCTGGTTCCTGTTTGTTGAAACCAAAATTAAGGAAATCATAGTAAACATGTCAGCAGGGAGTAAGTTATCTCGAAGTCCAACCAACTGAGTTCTAAAATCCTCAATCATAAACTCTAATCCTCTTAATACAACTATATAAGTTCATAGTTTTCATCTCTTCATAGTGCATTAGCTTTATTAGAATTTGGATTGGATCTAACTTAGATATTACAAAACTGACTCGTAATTAGAGATGCCTTCCATTTATATACACTTTTTCAGGCCGTATCAAATCCAATGTAGGACTATCAGCACACACTCCTCGCGTCTAGGACTATACATCCGGAGCATGACCTGAGTGGTCTGATAGCATATATTCCAACGGATCTTGGATAAGCTCTAATGCAATCTTAATTTAGGGTTGAACTGAATTTCACCCTCACAAAACCGACTTGTAAGGTGGGAGACAGGACACTATGGTGCTAGTGCGGGTAAAGTAAATAAAAGAGCAACATATCATAATTCAATGCCATGGCTGCAAAAAGGAATATGGAAATTCAATTTGAAATTGTAAGGATAAATGTTCAAATCAAACAACAACAACGACCAAGCCTTATCCCACTAAGTGGAGTCGGCTACATGGATCAACTTTCGCCGTAATGTTCTATTCAGAACCATGTTCGTATCTAAATCATTAATCTCGAGATCTTTCTAAATAACTTCTTATAGTTTTTCTAAGTCTTCCTCTACCTCTAGTTGTTTGACTCATCTCTACCTAATCTACTCTCCTTACCACATAATTTACATGTATTCTCTCTACATGCCCGAAATACCTAAATCTATTTTCCGCCATCTTTCCTACTATAGGATAAATGTTGAAATTGAGGGACCAAAATCAAAATTCAGTGAAAGTATGAGAGCCAATACAGATATTTTCCAATCACACTTACATACTCACACTGGTATGTATCCTCCATTAAAGGAGAGACCGTCACTCACAATCTTTTCTAAATAAATCATCATGAATTTCAGTTTCAAGTTAGCATTTGATGCTACATGGTTGGTATTTCAATGTTTTCATAAACAATGAATTTTAAAATCTCAAGAACCACCCCACCACAAACAGGATAATTCATTTGTGCCAACTCAATAAAAATTACTACACAATTACAACATCTGCATCTACAAGCAAATCACAAGAACATGAAAAAGACATACCAAGTCAACCGAAAATCAACAATTAAAACAACAATGATTTAACTAAAGTTGAAGTCCCAAATCAAGATCAAGACAAAACAGTACCTACCCAGTTAAAAAAATCACAAGTTTAACAAACAAAAAGAAGCTTACAGCGAAGGGGTTAACTTCTTCTTCAGCAAAGGGATTGCTTTCATAGCGACCAGCCATGAGATCTGTGAAGTGAAATCAAATGGGTAACCGAAAAAAAAGAAATTTGGAGAGTTGAGATTTGAAAGTTTGAAACTTGTAATAGAAACAAGAAGGAAAAGGAAAGGTTGCAAAAGAAGGTAAAGATACAAAAGAATTGTCTTTGGTCAGCATAAGATACAAGTCATCAACAACAGAAATTGCTACCTTATGGTCTACAGATATGAAAATATAATTTATATGTAAAAACGCGTATTTCAAAGAAACAAATAATAATAAATTTGTTCATAATTTTACATTTACATCGAATTGATATTAAAATTAGTTAGATAGTATATTAAAATAGTTGGATTGCTTAACCTATTTTGTTTGAAACCAATAGAATTTGTTAGCGCAGCAATCAAGGGATTGAGCAATACACACGTTTGTGAGAGACACATCACATATTCATCCAAAATCTTAAGAGGTGGGTGGATTCTCTCACTTATAAATGCTCAAGTTACCACATTTCTATATAATGTGAGATTATTTTCCACACTACTTATACTTGTAATTCTTTTTCAACACAATTGGTTTGCATCAAGGTCCAACGTTAAGCCCCTACCTTTTTATCTTGATTTTGTATGTACTTATGAAATATATCTAAGAAGTAGCACTAAGATATATGTTTTTTTGTAGATGATATATTTCTTTTTAAAGAGTCGAAAGAGGATTTAAATGAGAGGTTGGGAAGTTAGAGATGAGCTTTAGAAACGCGGGATTTTCACCTAAGTCGAAATAAGACGGGGTACGTGGAATGTAAGTTTAATAAAAGAAGTATTTATAACCTAGAGATGAAAGTTGAAGACCATATTATTCTGCAAGTCACACGGTTTAAATATCTTGGGTCTGTAATATAAAATGATAGAGAAATAAAAAGGGTTGTAAACCATCGAATTCAAGTTGCGTAGTTGAAATAGAGAAGGGCAACAAGTGTTTTATGTGATGCAAAGATAGCGCTCAAGTTGAAGGAAAAGTTTTATCGGACTGAGGTAAGACCTACAATTTTCTATAAGATATAATGTTGAACAGTTAAGAATTAACACAAGAATATAGTAAGTGTAGTAAAGATGAGGACGTTGCGGTGGAAAATAGACTTATGTGAAAAGATGGTGGAAAATAGACTTATGTGATTTGAGCATGTAGAGAGAAAACTCTGTAATAAGAAAGGTAGGCCGAGTGGAAAGAAGGCAAATACATCAAATGGATGATGGTGTTGTTGTTGAAATGATGACCTTATGATGCTCTTTTCTAAATTCAAATTTTCATTTGGTTGTTTGGTGTGATGCAGGGCGATGCACATGGTGAGGGCATGGTGAATGAGTGTAAGATGATGAATGGAATTGTGAAGATGGTGAGATGGTGGCATGAGTGCAAGATGACATGTGACTGTTAAATTGGTATAATATTTTCATATATTTCAATCGTATACATCAGATGGGAATTGGTTATATTTATATACACAGAAAACTCTATTTCTAATTATAACTAAATCAGAATAATTATAACCAAATCAGAGAAATTAACAATTAATAACTATATTCCTATTATAGTCCATACAATTTTGTTGACAGCTAACGCCAACACTCCCCCTCAAGTTGGTGCATAGATATCTCGAATGCCCAACTCGTCAAGTGCGTTGTAGAAGTCTCTACTACATACAGCTTTTGTGAGTATATCTGCTAATTGATCTTCAGATTTAACAAACGGAAATTGAATTATCTTGGTCTCCAAATTTTGCTTAATAAAGTGTCGATCTACTTCCACGTGCTTTGTTTGATCATGTTGAACCGGATTATGAGCAATTTCAATTGTAGACTTATTGTCACAAAAAAGATTCATCGCATTATTCAGAGCAAAGCCAATTTCAATTAACAGTCTTCGAAGCCAGAGAAGCTCACAAAGACCTTTAGCCATCCCTCGAAACTCTGCTTCAGCACTTGATAATGCTACAACATTTTGTTTCTTACTTTTCCATGTAACCAAATTTCCTCCAACAAAGGTAAAATAGCCTGAGGTGGATTTTCTGTTGGTGATATCTCCAGCCCAGTCAGCGTCTGTATAACCTTCAACTTGTACATGATTATTCTTTGTGAACATCAAGCATTTTCCAAGCGAGGACTTCAAGTACCGCATGATTCGAATTACCGCGTCCATGTGGTCTTTACTCGGGTTGTGCATAAATTGGCTTACTACACTTACCGCATACACTATATCAGGTCGTGTATGAGATAAGTAAATAAGTTTGCCAACCAATCTCTGGTACCTTCCTTTGTTTGTTGGCACTTGGTCTGGATATTCTCCAAGTTGGTGGTTCTGGACAATTGGAGTATCTACAGGTTTACAATCTAGTAGCCCAACTTCTGATAAAAGATCTAAGATATATTTTCGTTGAGATAAAAAGATGCATTTCTTTGACCTAGCAACTTCAATACCTAGAAAATATTTGAGTCCACCTAGATTTTTCATCTCAAATTCGGTTGCCAGATGTTTTTGAAGTTTAGCTATTTCCTCATAGTCATCTCCTGTAATAATCATGTCATCTACATACACAATCAAAGTTGTGACCTTACCTTGACGGTGTTTCAAAAACAACGTATGATCTGTGTTGCTTTGTTGGAAGCCATATTTTTTCATTGCCAAGTTCAATCTCCCAAACCACGCTCTAGGAGATTGCTTCAAGCCATACAAACTGCGTTGCAATTTGCACACCACTTTAGTCTCATAGTTTGTCATGTATCCCGGAGGGATATCCATATATATTTCTTCTTGCAAGTGCCCATGGAGAAATGCGTTTTTCACGTCTAACTGATGCAATGGCCAATCAAGATTTACTGCAAGAGATAAAAGAACTCTGACAGTGCTCAACTTGGCAATAGGAGAAAAGGTTTCTTGATAGTCTACGCCATATGTTTGTGTAAAGCCTTTAGCTACTAGTCTTGATTTGTACCTTTCAATTGACCCATCAGCTTTGTACTTGATAGAGAAAACCCACTTACACCCTACTGATTTCTTTCCTTTTGGTAAAGGGACAAGGGTCCATGTCGCATTCTTGTTTAATGCCTCAATTTCTTCATTCATAGCTTGAACCCATCTAGTGTCTTCAATGGCCTCTTCAACATTGCTAGGTACACTGTGTGAAGATAGTTCATTTGCAAATTTCTTAAGGGGTTCAGATAATTCCTTCATAGAGACATAATTAGCAATTGGATACCTCGATCGATGATCCTCTTCTTCAGGAGAGTAACGCTTCGGTGGTTTTCCCCGATTATGCCTATGAGGTAATTCATAGCTAACATAGATATCACTATTATTATTATTATCAAGAGATATAGGAGAGCTTACCTCAATGATATTCTCAGGAGATGGATCGTTGAGTACTGGAGAGGGGGGGATTCTGATACTTCAACTTCAGGACTCATATGGTCTGTTTGAGTTTGACACGAATCACCAGCCACTTCAGTTGATGGTATATCAATATCTTTGACCCAATCAAATGTCGACCAATTCGACTCTTCTTCTGGTGTCTCCCCCTGAAGAGAAGAATTGGGTGCTGCCGAGGAGTAGAAATGGTCAAATTCCAAGAATGTAACATCCATAGTTACATAAATGCGTCGAGTAGTAGGGTCATAGCAGCGATACCCTTTCTGGTGTACACCATATCCCAAAAACAGGCAGCGAATGGCACACGAATCAAGCTTTGTACGCTGGTTTTTATGTAGGTGAACAAACACAACACACCCAAAGACACGAGGTGGCAACATTTGTATTGTAGGCAGCGGTACAAATGTGGACAAGGTCTGCAGCGGAGTTTTAAATTCAAGAACCTTCGATGGCATCCGATTGATGAGATATACTGTTGTAGTAATAACATCAGTCCAATGGTGGTGAGGCACATGTGCTCCATGTAAAAGAGCGCGAGCAATTTCAAGGATATGGCGATTTTTCCGTTTTGCAATACCATTTTGTTGTGGAGTTTGTGGACACGTGGTTTCGTGAATAAGTCCGTGTTTTTTTAAATACTCATGGAATTGGTGATTTACAAACTCCCCACCATTATCAGAGCGAAGGATCCTAATCTTTGTTGAATATTGAGTCTGAATCATTTTATGAAATTGTTGAAATATGTGTACCACTTCATTTTTTTTGTTTCAACAAATAAATCCAGGTCATTCGAGTGCAATCATCAACAAATATAACAAACCACCGATAACCAGAGAGAGACAATTTTGGGGATGGACCCCATACATCAGAATGGATTAAATCAAAAGGAACATTACTTTTATTCATACTTGATGGAAAAGTGACTCGATGACTCTTGGCTAAAATACAAGCTTCATATTTGAAGTTCAACAAAGATTTATCTGAAAATAAGTTTGGGAACACATGTTTCAAGTAGGCAAACGAAGGATGGCCTAATCGACGATGCCAGAGTAAGACTTGCTCCATTTTGTTGTTTCTTGGATAATGCATGTGATGCGCTCGGCCTACACTAAAATCTTCCATATAGTAAAGTCCCCCTATCTTAGTACCACGCTGTTGCACCCTAAAATTTGACCAACATTTATTTACCCATCAAGTGTTTGAAGGTTGATACCTTCATCAGAAAGCTCAAGAGATCCTCAGAGGAATTGGTTGAAACCAGAGTTGTGTGTCTCCTAGCTTGAGAATTGTGGGAACTCCTCAGATGATTCAGAGGCTTTGAGAATGAACTTGGAGATTTGAGAAAGCCTATGAGATGTCTTGAAAGCCATCATGAAGTCCAGAGAGGTCATTGTGCAAGAATTCAAAAGATTTAACCATGAATGGTAGAATTAGGGTTTTGACTGGGTCAATCCTAGATCAGCTAAAGATTTGGAGAAGGTTGAGACCTAATCCAAGGGCCATGAGATCATGGAATGATGTATGGAGATGTTATAAAGATGATTCCTAGACCAACTCATCATGATTGAGGAGTTTGAGAAGTTTTGAGTTAGGGTTTC